GCCAGGAGGGAGGGAGCAGATCTTACATCATTTGGGAGTGTGTTCCATAGGCGGGGGGCCACAGCCGAGAAGGCCCTGTCTCTCGTCCCCGCCAGACGCATCTGTGCTGTTGACGGGAGCGAGAGCAGGGCCTCCACTTATAATAAGGATGTGAGATAATAATAACTATTATTATTGTCGAAGGCTTTCATGGCTGGAATCACTAGGTCCTTGTGGGTTTTTTCGGGCTATGCTTGTGGATTTCAATGACTTCTCTGTGTAGTTTGACATGGTGGTTGTTGGTGTGGTCCAGCATTTCTGTGTTTGTGAAATCCACAAGCATGTGGACAATTTCAACAGAAAGGAAGAGACCATGAAAATGAACGAAATCTGGCTACCAGTATTAAAAAAACTCTAAAATTACAACAGCAAAACAGCAGAGAGGAAACAACCAGGCACATCTTAACACCTCTCAACAGGAGATTTTCCCAGGCTCAGCCAGGCCTTCAAATGCTAATGAAGGTGGTCAGTTGAAACATTCACACCTAGCTGCAGCAGAGAACAGCTCTTTGCCCCACCCCATTCCACAGATATATAAACCCATTGTCCTAATTCCAACAGACCTCAGTACCTCTGAGGATGCTTGCCATAGATGTAGGAGAAACGTCAGGAGAAATGCCTCTAGAACATGGCCCTATAGAGCGAAAAAACCCACAAGAACCTACTATTATTATTATTTCTTACCCGCCTCTTCTCATGGCTCATCCCTGAGTTACAAACACGGGACTTAAAATTACTCATAATTAAGAATGGGGATGAGACTACAGGAACAGCTGTATAAAATCCACATTGAACTGGATTATATGGCAATATGGACTCAGATAACTCATTTTAATATTATGGATGATCTGCCTTGATATTCTGGGTTATGTGGCTGTGCGGAGGGGACCTATATAAATCTATTATTTATTATTTTATTTATTTATTTGCAGCATTTATATACTGCTTTTCTCACCCTGAGGAGGACTCAAAGCGGTTTAAATCTATATAAATAAAAATGTAATGTTCGTTTGTGGGATTAGCAGAACTCAAAAACCACTGGGGGAATTGACACCAAATTTGGACATAAGACACCTAACCACTCAATGTATGTCCTTCACTCATAAAAACACTGAAAAACACAGCAGAAGGGACTTCAAAATCCCCAAAAAGCTAAATGACAATACAGAAAAAGGAAGAAAGAGGGAAGGAGAGAAAGAAAAGAAAGAAAAGAAAAGAAAAAGGGAGGGAAAGAAAGAAGGAAAGGGAGAAGGAAGCATGGAAGCAAAGAGAGAAGGAAGGAAAGAGGTAGAGAAGGAAGAAAGGAGAGAAAGAGGGAGGGAAAGAAAAAGGGGGAAGGAAGGAAAGTTAGAGAAGGAAGGAAGGAAGGAGAGAAGGAAAGAAAATAGGGAAAGAAGGAAGGAAAGAGGGAGCAAAGGAAGGGGGAAGATGTAGAGAAAGAGGGAGGGAAGGAAAGAGAGAAGGAAAAAGAGAGACAGCAGAAGAGAAAGAAAAGGGGGGAAGGAAGGAAAGAGGAGCGAAGGAAGGAGGAAAGGATGAGAGAAAGAGGGAGGGAAGGAAAGAGAGAAAAAGGAAGAGAGAAGGAAGAGAAAGAAAAAAGGGGAAGGAAGGAAAGGGGGGAGGGAAGGAGGGGGGAAGATGTAGAGAAAGAGGGAGGGAAGGAAAGAAGGAAAGAGAGACAGCAGAAGAGAAAGAAAAAGGGGGAAGGAAGGAAAGAGATAGAGAAGGAAGGAAAGAGGGAGTGAAGGAAGGAGGGAAAGAAGGAGAGAAAGGAAAGAGAGACAGCAGAAGAGAAAGAAAAAGGGAGAAGGAAGGAAAGAGTGAGCGAAGGAAGGGGGGAAGATGTAGAGAAAGAGGGAGGGAAGGAAAGAGAGAAAAAGGAAAGAGAGACAGCAGAAGAGAAAGAAAAAGGGGGAAGGAAGGAAAGAGTGAGCGAAGGAAGCGGGGAAGATGTAGAGAAAGAGGGAGGGAAGGAAAGAGAGAAAAAGGAAAGAGAGACAGCAGAAGAGAAAGAAAAAGGGGGAAGGAAGGAAAGAGTGAGCGAAGGAAGGGGGGAAGATGTAGAGAAAGAGGGAGGGAAGGAAAGAGAGAAAAAGGAAAGAGAGACAGCAGAAGAGAAAGAAAAAGGGGGAAGGAAGGAAAGAGTGAGCGAAGGAAGCGGGGAAGATGTAGAGAAAGAGGGAGGGAAGGAAAGAGAGAAAAAGGAAAGAGAGACAGCAGAAGAGAAAGAAAAAGGGAGAAGGAAGGAAAGAGTGAGCGAAGGAAGGGGGGAAGATGTAGAGAAAGAGGGAGGGAAGGAAAGAGAGAAAAAGGAAAGAGAGACAGCAGAAGAGAAAGAAAAAGGGAGAAGGAAGGAAAGAGTGAGCGAAGGAAGGGGGGAAGATGTAGAGAAAGAGGGAGGGAAGGAAAGAGAGAAAAAGGAAAGAGAGACAGCAGAAGAGAAAGAAAAAGGGGGAAGGAAGGAAAGAGTGAGCGAAGGAAGGGGGGAAGATGTAGAGAAAGAGGGAGGGAAGGAAAGAGAGAAAAAGGAAAGAGAGACAGCAGAAGAGAAAGAAAAAGGGAGAAGGAAGGAAAGAGTGAGCGAAGGAAGGGGGGAAGATGTAGAGAAAGAGGGAGGGAAGGAAAGAGAGAAAAAGGAAAGAGAGACAGCAGAAGAGAAAGAAAAAGGGGGAAGGAAGGAAAGAGTGAGCGAAGGAAGGGGGAAGATGTAGAGAAAGAGGGAGGGAAGGAAAGAGAGAAAAAGGAAAGAGAGACAGCAGAAGAGAAAGAAAAAGGGAGAAGGAAGGAAAGAGTGAGCGAAGGAAGGGGGGAAGATGTAGAGAAAGAGGGAGGGAAGGAAAGAGAGAAAAAGGAAAGACAGACAGCAGAAGAGAAAGAAAAAGGGGGAAGGAAGGAAAGAGTGAGGAAGGAAGGAGGGAAAGAAGGAGAGAAAGAGGGAAGGTTGGCCACAGCAACGCGTGGCGGGTACAGCTAGTCAATAATAATAATAAAAACAACAACAACAAACAACAACAAGCTTTATCACCAATCCTTGCTTCCATAAGACACATTTTTGAAAATCTAATTCTCACAAGGACAGAAAGTGGTGGGAAATCTTCTGAGCAGGGGCACAGGCAGCAAAACCAACACCACAGCGGTGTTCGCGCGCGCGCGCGCGCGCACACACACACACACACACACATATATATATGGTTGGAGTTACATATAAACGTACCTGTTCTGACTTCCATACAAATGCAACTTATAAACAAACCTACAGAACCTAACTTGTCCATAACTTAGGGACTGCATGGACTCCACTTAGACAGAAAAGAATAAAATGCATAGATATAGGACAGAAGTCAATGTGAATGTGATCTAGAGAGTCTTAAGTGAGTCACACGCTGAACATGAGCCAACAGTGGGATGCAGCAGCTCAAAAAGCCAATGTGATTCTAGAGTGCATCAGTAGAGGTCTATTGTCTAAACCAGTGGTTCCCAGGTCCGCTAGTTGTTTTGGACTTCAGCTCCCAGAATTCCCAGCCAGCTTGCCAGCTAAATGGAATTGTGGGAGCTGAAGTCCAAAACACCTGGAGTACTAAAGGTTGGGACCAACTGAAGGAAGTCATAGTCTCGTTTTCTTTTGCTTTGGTCAGACTTGACCTGGACTAATCCTGTGTCCAAAGCACACTGACCAAATCTGCAAACGATACCAAACTTGGAGGGATAGCTAATGCTCCAGAGAACAGGATCAGGATCCAAAATGACTTTAACAGACTACGAACCTGTGTCAAACCTATCAGAATCAACTTCCAACAGGAAGAAATGTAGGGCACTCTACTTCAGACAATCTATGTAAATAAAAATGTAATGTTCGTTTGTGGGATTAACATAACTCAAAAACCACTGGACGAATTGACACCAAATTTGGACAGCATACACCTAACAACCCATTGTATGTCCTTCACTCAAAAAAATTTAGATTTTGTCAATTGGGAGTTGTAGTTTCTGGGATTTATAGTTCACCTATAATCAAAGAGCATTCTGAACTCCACCAACGATGGAATTGAACCAACAGAAAATATTGGAAGGGTTTGGTGGGCACTGACCTTGAGTTTTGGAGTTATAGTTTACCTACACCCAGAGAGCACTGTGGACTCAAACAATGAAGGATCTAGACAAAAATTGGCAAGAATACTCCATATGCCCAAATATGAAGACAGATGGAGGAAATAGACCTTGACATTTGGGAGTTGCAGTTACTGGGATTTATAGTTCGCCCACAATCAAAGAGAATTCTGAACCCCACCAATGATAGAATTGGACCAAACTTTCCAGACAGAACCCCCATGATCAACACAAAATACACTCTCATGCTGCAGGAAAACATTTCCCTTTTCCTTTGGGACCCTTGTTAGCCGTCATTTCAAAGTTCGCAGCGTTGTGATGTAACACTCTGAATTTATTGTTGTTCTCTGACTGATATGACAATCATCCTGAATCAATCTGTCAACCTTTTGCTTGTGAAACTCAGTGGTTGCTGCCACAGGACGTCCAACTCTTTGTCACACAAGACAGATGTTCCCACCTCAACATCTTTGAACTTACTCGCCCAACGGTACAGAGTACTGACATCAACACAACCACCATAAATAGCTTGCATTCTCTGATGAATCTCCTTTGGGGCGACACCTTCTGCTGTCAAGAATTCAACGACTGCACATTGCTTGTTGCATTGACCGACCGTCTGTGAAGGGTTCCATATTTTGCACTTTAACAATACAACCATTCAATGCTAAGGCTTCCCGCCAAAATGGAACTGTAGAGGAGAGTCTACTGAACAAGCCAGTACCTGCCGCGTACCAGTACTGCCATCTGTTGAGGAGTTACGAAGGTGGAGGCATTACTTTTCATTCAATTCATAATTTCTAATTTTTTTATTATATTTCTCATCCATTGAAACTCAGGTACAGCAAACTCACCTGGGATGCTGGGATCACTACTGGGTGGACTTTGCACCACCGGGCTGCAGGACAAGCTGGTTAAGACCATGGCAGCCATCATTTCATCCATCTCAACTGCAGCATCTGATTTCCTATAATGGGAAGAGATGGGATAAAGACCATGGATCAAAAGATCAGGCATGGGCAAACTTCGGCCCTTATCTGGCTTGGGAAACAGCTAGAGGGACCTTGGCTGTGATATTACTACTTCCTTCAATCTAGACCTGTCATGGCAGATATGGGCTTATCTGGCTTGGGAAATAGCTGGAGGGATTCTGGCAGTGATATTACTACTTCCCTCAGTTGAGAGCAGACATGGGCAAACTTTGGTCCTCCAGATATTTTGGACTTCAACTCCCACAATTCCTAACAGCCTACCGGCTGTTAGGAATTGTGGGAGTTGAAGTCCAAAACATCTGGAGGGAGGGCCCAAGTTTGCCCATACCCGATGTAGATGCAACTCCCGGGATTCCATATCACTGAGCCATGGCAGGGAAAGGGGTGCCAAACTGCATTAATTCTGCAGTGTAGATGCACCCCTACATCGGACACGTTGCACGATTGCAGATTATTGCAAGCATTTCTGATGAGAACCTTCCCCTCTTTAACAAGCACCGGCTTTGGAAACCACTGAGGTCAAACAAAGTCCAGGCATCTTTCCTCCGATCTGTACCAGAATTTTGCACTCGGAGAGGAACTCCGTTCCCTTTGCTTCCCTGGGAGAAAAGAGCTATAAAAGGCGCCTTTAGCATAGTAAATTATTTAAACGAACCACTCCAGGCAACCCTTCATGAGCAGATCTTCAAAACATCCAAGTGATGAAAAAATAATAATAATAAAAGAGCCTTCCAGTGTTAAAACTTCAAAGATGGCACTCCAGCTGTTGGCTTCGTTTGCATCAAATTGGGTTTCGGGAAATGTTCAAAGGTGCATCTCTACACTGGAGAATTAATGCAGTTTGACACCACTTTACATGCCATGGCTCAGTACTATGGAATCCTGAGAGTTTATTTACTGTCGAAGGCTTTCATGGCTGGAATCACTGGGTTGTTGTAGGTTTTTTCGGGCTATATGGCCATGGTCTAGAGGCATTCTCTCCTGACGTTTTGCCTGCATCTATGGCAAGCATCCTCACTACCTCTGAGGATGCTTGCCATAGATGCAGGCGAACCGTCAGGAGAGAATATCTCTAGACCATGGCCATATAGCCCGAAAAAACCTACAACAACCCAGTTTATTTACTATTTATTTATTTATTTATCTACTACACTTTTATCCCACCCTTTCAGCCCGAAAGCGACTCAGGGCGGCGTACAGACTGGCAACATTAGATGCCGAACACACATAAATACATCATCAATACAACTTTATTTATTTGTTTACAACATTTATACCCCACCCTTCACAACCTCTGGGGGGGGGGGGACTCAGAGCAGCTAACACAGGCAGCAAGTCGAAGCCACAATATCAATAAACAATAGTATAAAACAATAAATGCATAAAAGATTAAAAACAGTAACATTAATTATATAATCACATAGCCGTTTCCAATTATCGTATGGCCCAATTATCGTATGGTTTCACCCGCTAGCCGAAAGCCTGATTCCAAAACCACGATTTTAGTTTTTTTCCTGAAGGAAAGGAGGGAAGGCGCTGATCTAATCTCGCTGGGGAATGAATTCCACAGCCGCGGGGTCACCACCGAGAAGGCCATGTCCTTCATCCCCACCAGACATGTTTGCAAGGCTGGTAGGACCGAGAGCAATGCCTTTCCAGCAGATCTTAAACTATGAAGCGGAACGCAGAGAGAGATACGTTCGGACAAGTAAGCTGGGCCGGAACCGTATTTTAAACTATAAAAAACAATGACTTCCGGGGTAAAATCCATGTCCATTTGCATCTTTAAGCTGATCCATATTCGTTCACAATACTGATTTATCTGGTTACAATGGGGCTCCAAAAGTTTACTTGAAGAGCCAGGTTTTCACTCAGGAGGGAAGAGGCCGATCTAATATCCTCAGGAAGAGAGTTCCACAGCCAAGGGGCCACCACTGAGAAGGCCTCGTCTCTTGTCCATGTCAAGTGCACTGTCAGGCAGGCAGGACAGAGAGCAGGGCCTCCCCAGATGATCTTAAATTCCTGAAAGGTTAATAAGAGGAGACATGTTCAGATAGGTAAGTTGGGCCAGAAGCGTTTAGGGCTTTATAGGCTAAAGCCAGCACTTTGAATTGTGCCCGGTAGCAAACTGGGAGCCAGTGGAGCTGGCGCAACAGTGGAATTGTGTGCTCCCTGAGTGCCGCTCCTGTTAGTAGCCTGGCTGCCGTTTGTTGGACCATTTGACGCTTCCAGACAGTATTCAAAGGCAGCCCCACGTAGAGCGTGTTGCAGTAGTCTATACGGGATGTAACCAGAGTGGACTACCATGGCCAAGTCAGACTTCCCAAGGTGCGGGCGCAGCTGGCGCACAAGCTTTAACTGTGCAAATGTTCCCTTGGTCACCGCCGAAACCTGGGGTTCCAGACTCAGCGATGAATCCAGGATCACTCCCAAGCTGCAAACCTGCGTTTTCAAGGGGAGTGTAACCCCATCCAACACAAGCTGTAACCCTATGCCCTGTTCGGCCTGGGGCCATAGGGTTACAAGGCACAAAGATGGGGCTGCTTTTGGGTAGCCATAAGTCAACAATAGCTTGAAGGTACATGACAACATTAGAAATTATCATAATGATGATGATATTGATGATGATGCATCCACTCACCTTTTAGGTACATCGATATTCTGGGACACGGATCTCAGAGCCGACACCACGGCGGCATTCACGGTGGCCGGGCAATCCTCCGTGGACATGGGAATGGTGCCAAATCCCAATGTCGTGGTTATGGCTTGCTGAGCATCCAAGGCTGGCATGCGCAACATCGGGGCCTCCGCCGTCTGCACTTCCTCCACTTTGCGGCAGATGGGGAATCTGTTTTCGGGGAGCAAGGCTTTCACTTCGTCGCTGGCACAGTCATGATGCTCCATCAAGCCGGTTTGATCTTGCTCGCTGCAAAAGACACCCACCTGTAAGGAGAAAAGGTATCAATTTGCAACGATAGATGGTATATTTCCTCCACATTCACCGGGTTTTGGCACGAGGGATCCTCACCAAAGTGAAAATCCACTATAATATATACATATACATATTTATTTACAGTATTTATATTGGGTTGTTGTTGGTTTTTTCGGGCTATATGGCCATGGTCTAGGGGCATTCTCTCCTGACTTTTCATCTGCATCTATGGCAAGCATCCTCACCTCACTACCTCTGAGGATGCTTGCCACAGATGCAGGCGAAACATCAGGAGATGCCTCTAGACCATTTATTTATTTATTTATTTACTTTACTTATATACCGCTGTTCTCAGCCTGAAGGCGACTCACAGCGGTTCACAACAAATAAGAACAGCAAAAATTCAATGCTACAGTGTAAAAAACAGTTAACAACCTAACACATTACACAATTAATAAACAATAAACAATTACTAGAATAACCATTCACTATCGTCTCATCATCAAAAACATAATCCAGAATTCATCATCCATTGTTCCATTCCAGTGTTCATTAACCAATCATTGCACTAATTATTCGAACGCCTGCTCAAACAGCCAGGTCTTCACTTTCCTGTGGAATACCATTAGAGATGGTGCTAGTCTAATGTCCGTGGGAAGGGCGTTCCACAGCCGAGGAGCCACCACCGAGAAGGCCCTATTTCTCGTCCCCGCCAGCCGTGCTTGAGAAGCAGGCGGGATCGAGAGCAGGGCCTCCCCAGAAGATCTCAAAGTCCTGGTGGGTTCATAGGCAGAGATGCGGGCAGATAGGTAGCTTGGGCCGGAACCGTTTAAGGCTTTATAGGCCAATGCCAGCACCTTGAATTGAGCCCGGTAGCAGATCGGTAGCCAATGGAGCTGGCGCAACAGGGGGGTTGTATGCTCTCCGCGTTCCGCTCCTGTTAGAATCATGGCTGCCGCACGTTGGACTAATTGAAGCTTCCGGGCCGTCTTCAAGGGCAACCCCACGTAGAGAGCGTTGCAGTAGTCTAAACGGGATGTAACCAGAGCGTGGACTACCGTGGCCAAATCAGACTTCCCAAGGTACGGGCGCAGCTGGCGCACAAGCTTTAGCTGTGCAAATGCTCCCCTGGTCATCGCCGAAACCTGGGGTTCCAGGCTCAGTGATGAGTCCAGGGTCACACCCAAGCTGCGAACCTGCGTCTTCAGGGGGAGTGCGACCCCATCCAACACAGGCTGTAACCCTATACCCTGTTCGGCCTTGCAACTGACCAGGAGTAGCTCTGTCTTGTCTGGATTCAATTTCAATTTGTTCGCCCTCATCCAGACCGTTACAGCGGCCAGGCACCGATTCAGGACCTCAACAGCCTGTGGCTTCCTCTCACATATTTATACATGGCTATCATATCTCCTCTCAGCCTTCTCTTCTTCAGGCTAAACATGCCCAGCTCCTTAAGCCGCTCCTCATAGGGCTTGTTCTCCAGACCCTTGATCATTTTAGTCGCCCTCCTCTGGACACATTCCAGCTTGTCAATATCTCTCTTGAATTGTGGTGCCCAGAATTGGACACAATATTCCAGGTGTGGTCTAACCAAGGCAGAATAGAGGGGTAGCATTACTTCCTTAGATCTAGACACTATGCTCCTATTGATGCAGGTGAAACATCAGGAGAGAATGCCTCTAGACCATTTATTTATTTATTTATTTATTTATTTATTTGCTTATATACTGCTGTTCTCAGCCCGAAGGCGACTCACAGCGGTTCACAACAAATAAGAACAGCAAAAATTCAATGCTACAGTGTTTAGCCTGAAGAAGAGAAGGCTGAGAGGAGATATGACAGCCATGTATAAATATGTGAGAGGAAGCCACAGGGAGGAGGGAGCAAGCTTGTTTTCTGCTTCCTTGGAGACTAGGACACAATGGAACAATGGCTTCAAACTACAAGAGAGGAGATTCCATCTGAACTTGAGGAAAAACTTCCTGACTGTGAGAGCCGTTCAGCAGTGGAACTCTCTGCCCCGGAGTGTGGTGGAGGCTCATTCTTTGGAAGCTTTTAAACAGAGGCTGGATGGCCATCTGTCAGGGGTGATTTGAATGCGATATTCCTGCTTCTTGGCAGAATGGGGTTGGACTGCCAAGAGACCCATGAGGTCTCTTCCAACTCTTTGATTCTTTGATTCTATGAACTGTGTGCCAAGTTTGGTTCAATTCCATTGTTGGTGGGGTTCAGAATTCTCTTTGATTGTAGGTGAACTATAAATCCCAGCAACTACAACTCCCAAATGACAAAATCCATTTTTTTGAGTGAAGGACATATATTGGGTTGTTACGTGTCTTGTGTCCAAATTTGCTGTCAATTCGTCCAGTGGTTTTTGAGTTATGTTCATCCCACAAACGAACATTACATTTTTATTTCTATCGATTGAGCTCTCCAAAGGTGCATCTACTCCAGGTCTGAGCTAACTTGGGCCCTCCAGGTCATTAGGACTTCGACTCTAACAATTCCTACCTGTTAGGAATTGTAGGAATTGAAGTCCAAAACACCTGGAGGGCCAAAGTTTGCCCAGGCCTGATCTATTATATGAAATTAATGCACCTTAATACCACTTTAAGTGCTACGGCTCAATGCTATGGAGTCTTGGGATTTGTAGGTTCTACAGTGTAGATGCCTCCTTGGAGAGATCACTGAAAGTTTGGACTAAGGTCCAGAGTGGACGCTAATGCCCACAGACAAGCACGGCCAGTGACTGCGTTGCTTCTGCACGACTGGCCTGGGGCCTTCTCCCTCGGTGACAGCCTAATTGGATCGAGAGCCATTGCCTAACGCCCCAAAGTCTATTTTGGTTCCCGTAATTGTATCTGGGCTGAGCCCTAGTTATTCTTGGAGGCTATTTATAGGGGGGAACTCTAGTTACCGCCGGGGAAGAAAAGAGAGGCTGAACCGAGCAACGAAAAGGGCTGCGGAGAAGCATAGTTGCTTGGGGCCAACTATGTGTTGCTGAACAAGTCACACTCTCTCATCTTCAGAGGATGGAAAGAGCAAGAACAGATCTTTCCAGGAACAAAATCTTTCCAAGAAAACCCAATTACCTCGTGAAGGCGGATCTGGCCAGGGTGGTCCATGCCTTAGTCACCTCCAGATTGGATTACTGTAATGCACTCTACGTGGGGCTACCCTTGAAAACGGCCTGGAAATTTCAACTGGTCCATGGGGCGGTGGCCAGGTTGTTAACTGGTGCTCCTTACAGGGAGAGGTCAACCCTCCTGTTTAAGGAGCTCCATTGGCTGCCGTTCATTTTCCGGTCCCAATTCAAGGTGCAGATGCTTACCTGCAAAGCATTTAACAGTTTGGGACACGCCTACCTGCGTGACCACATCTCTGTGTACGAACCCACACAATCTCTCCGTTCATCTGGAGAGGCCCTACTCACGATCCCACCTCAGGAGAGAATGCCTCTAGAACATGGAGGAGAAACGTCAGGAGAGAATGCCTCTAGAACATGGCCATATAGCCCGAAAAAACCTACAACAACCCACAGTGAAGGATATTTTGCACAGAATTTTACAAAATAAAAATAATGGGCATTTCTTTTGCACACACACAAAAAAAATCATAGAATAAAATAGTTGCTATGACAGACACATTGAGGAAAAACAACAGGAAAAACTCAGCCACTATCAAGACCACAAAATCGAACTGCAAAGGCTCTGGCATAAACCAGTACAGGTGGTCCCAGTGGTCATGGGTGCACTGGGTGCCGTGCCAAAAGATCTGAGGCGGCATTTGGAAACAATAAACATTGACAAAATCACGATCTGTCAACTGCAAAAGGCCACCTGACTTGGATCTGCACACATCATTCGAAAATACATCACACAGTCCTAGACGTTTTGGCAGTGTTCGACTTGTGATTTTGTGATACAAAATCCAGCATATAGATCTCGTTTGATGTGACATACTGTGCTTTTGTGTCAATAATAATAATAATAATAATAATAATAATAATAGAATCATAGAGTTGGAAGAGACCTCATGGGCCATCCAGTCCAACCCCATTCTGCCAAGAAGCAGGAAAATTGCATTCAAAGCACACACAACAGATGGCCATCCAGCCTCTGTTTAAAAGCCTCCATAGAAAGAGCCTCCACCACACTCCAGAGCAGAGAGTTCCACTGCTGAACAGCTCTCACAGTCAGGAAGTTCTTCCTGTGAGATTACACTAACTTTTGGAAACAACAAGGTTTGTTCCAAAAAATAAAATGTATAAAATTTCCATTCAGCTCCATTTCTAAGCACACCCAACAGATGGCCATCCAGCCTCTGTTTAAAAGCCTCCATAGAAGGAGCCTCCACCACACTCCAGAGCAGAGAGTTCCACTGCTGAACAGCTCTCACAGTCAGGAAGTTCTTCCTGTGAGAGTACACTTAACTTTTGGAAACAACAAGGTTTGTTCCAAAAAATAAAATGTATAAAATTTCCATTCAGCTCCATTTCTAAGCACACCCAACAGATGGCCATCCAGCCTCTGTTTAAAAGCCTCCATAGAAGAAGCCTCCACTACACTCCAGAGCAGAGAGTTCCACTGCTGAACAGCTCTCACAGTCAGGAAGTTCTTCCTGTGAGAGTACACTAACTTTTGGAAACAAGTTTTGTTCCAAAAAATAAAATGTGTAAACTTTCCATTCAGCTCTATTTCCGTGCAGAATTATTTCTTGACAAGTAAATAATTGGGTGAGAACTGCACAAAGTATTTCATGGATGAGCAAAAAACATTTCGGAGTGAAACGCTGGCCACGAGATTCTCAGAAGAAACTTTGCAAAGAGAGGAGGCCCTTTTCAATTTGGCCATCCTCTCCAGCAGCTATTTTTATTTGGCTAGGGCTCCCAAATATTTTTAGCCGCAGGTTATTCTGGGCTTCGGGGTCAGCGGTTTCGGACTCCAGACCGCCGTCTCCAGCTAAAGATACGCCTGGCCGGGTTGCGGAAAGGGGAACGAATCCTTCAAGAAGGCCAATCTGTCTCGCAAAGGACTCAGGGTGCAGCTGCACTGTAGGATTAATTCGGTTTGGCACCTAATGGCTGAATGCTATGGAATCCCGGAAATTAAGAGTTTTCGAGATTTTGGGCTTCAATACACACAATCATAGAATCACAGAATCATAGAATCAAAGATTGGAAGAGACCTCATGGGCCATCCAGTCCAACCCCTGCCAAGAAGCAGGAATATTGCATTCAAATCACCCCTGACAGATGGCCATCCAGCCTCTGTTTAAAAGCTTCCAAAGAAGGAGCCTCCACCACACTCCGGGGCAGAGAGTTCCACTGCTGAACGGTTCTCACAGTCAGGAAGTTCTTCCTCATGTTCAGATGGAATCTCCTCTCTTGTAGTTTGAAGCCATTGTTCTTGCGTCCTAGACTCCAAGGAAGCAGAAAGGAAGCTTGCTCCCTCCTCCCTGTGGCTTCCTCTCACATATTTATACATGTCCCTCATCATATCTCCTCTCAGCCTTCTCTTCTTCAGGCTAAACATGCCCAGCTCCTTAAGCCGCTCCTCATAGGGCTTGTTCTCCAGACCCTTGATCATTTTAGTCGCCCTCCTCTGGACACATTCCAGCTTGTCAATATCTCTCTTGAATTGTGGTGCCCAGAATTGGACACAATATTCCAGGTGTGGTCTAACCAAAGCAGAATAGAGGGGTAGCATTACTTCCCTAGATCTAGACACTATGCTCCTATTGATTCAGGCCAAAATCCCATTGGCTTTTTTTGCCGCCACATCACATTGTTGGCTCATGTTTAACTTGTTGTCCACGAGGACTCCAAGATCTTTTTCACACGTACTGCTCTCGAGCCAGGCATCCCCCATTTTGTATCTTTGCATTTCATTTTTTCTGCCAAGTGGAGTATCTTGCATTTGTCACTGTTGAACTTCATTTTGTTAGTTTTGGCCCATCTCTCTAATCTGTCAAGATCTTTTTGAATCCTGCTCCTGTCCTCTGGAGTATTGGCTATCCCTCCCAATTTGGTGTCGTCTGCAAACTTGATGATCATGCCTTCTAGCCCTTCATCTAAGTCATTAATAAAGATGTTGAACAGGACCGGGCCCAGGACGGAACCCTGCGGCACTCCACTTGTCACTTCTTTCCAAGATGAAGAGGAAGCATTGGTGAGCACTCTCTGTGTTCGTCCACTTAACCAATTACAGATCCACCTCACCGTAGTTTTGCCTAGCCCACATTGGACTAGTTTCCTTCCAAAATACCTGAAAGGAGGGCCAAAATTTGCCCATGCCTGCCCTAAAACGAATCCATTGCGTACCTTTTGGCCCGGAAGCAGTGTCGGCCAGCTCTGATGTGGATCTCCGTGTCCTTTGGCCTCTGCAAAGTGGCTCTCGTCGTACGACCCAAGCAACGGAGGAGATCCCTTGTTGTGGTGGTCCAATGGCAAGGGGTGCACCGCCTGGGGAGCTCCCAACACCCCGTCCCCAAGCAAAGGGGGGGCCGAAATGCGGGCCCCCAGCAAGGAACGCTTCCCCAGCCGTCTCGACAGCACAGTCGCCATCTCAGACACACTGCAAGGAGGAGAGAGAAAAGATGACAGCTGTAAGATTAATTGTAGCCAAAAATTAGAAATAAAATTAGGAATACAAAATTGATGATCTATACATATAAAAACAAAAGAACCAATAAACAAAATCACACCAAATTTGGCAACAAAACGTCTCACAACTCAAGGAGTGACCATCACTCAAAAAATTATGATTTTGTCACTTGGGAGTTGTAGTTGCTGGGATTTATAGTTCACCTACAATCAAAGATCATTCTGAACTCTACCAGTGATGGAATTGAACCAATCTTGGGATACAGGACTCCCATGACCAACAGAAAATACTGTAAGGGTTTGATGGGCATTGACCTTGAGTTTGGGAGTTGTAGTTCACCTACATCCAGAGAGCACTATGGACTCAAACAATGATGGATCTGGACCAAACTTGGCACAAATATTCCATATGCCCAAATATGAACACAGATGGAGTTTGGGGAAAATAGACCTTGACATTTGGGAGTTGTAGTTACTGGGATTTATAGTTCACCTACAATCAAAGAGTATGCAGAACCCTACCAACGACAGAATTGGGGCAAACTTCCCATGCAGAACCCCCATGACCAACAGAAAACACTTAAGGCCATCCAATCCAACCCCCTTCATCAGGGCAAGAAAACGTAATCGAAGTCCTCCTCACAAAGAGCCATCCAGGCATAAATATAGATAGATAGATATGATTCACACACTCACAGATATAGTATCATAGTTTTGAAAGGGACCCTTCAAGAAGGACAATGATATATTGCATCTTCAAGGGTGGGCAAACCAGACACTCTCCACATCAACACTGACAAAGAAACAACAAGAAATACTGTTCACCCAGAAGCATAAAGACATTACATATATTAGAAACAAACACTTTCTCATTACTTTATTTTCCAGATCAATAGACTGGGCCACAGCAATGCGTGGCAGGGGACGGCTAGTTACTCATATTTTTATACATGTAATCTCTATGTGCACCCACCACACATGCGACATGTATTCATCCTTAATATTATTGATTCTTATACTGATCACTTCTCCAAAATGCAAACAAACAGAACAAAATCTGGCTACCAGTATTAAAAAAAAACTCTGAAATTACAACAGAGGAAACAGTCAAGGACATCTAATCACCTCTCAACAAAAGATTGCCCCAAGCACTGCCAGGCCATCAAATGCTAATCAAGGTGGTCAGTTGAAACATCCACACCTAGCTCCAATAGACAAGAGTTCTTTGTCTCACCCTGGTCATTCCACAGATATATAAACCGATTTTCCTACTTCCAACAGACCTCACTACCTCTGAGGATGCTTGCCATAGATGCAAGCGAAACGTCAGGAGAGAATGCCTCTAGAACAGTGTTTCTCAACCTGGGGGTCGGGACACCTGGAGGGGTCGCGAGGGGGTGTCAGAGGGGTCACCAAAGAGCACCAGAAAACACAGTATTTTCTGTTGGTCATGGAGGTTCTGTGTGGGAAGTTTGACCCAATTCTATCGTTGGTGCGGTTCAGAATGCTCTTCGATTGTAGATGAACTATAGATCCCAGCAACTACAACTCCCAAATGTCAAGATTCTATTTTCCCCAAACTCCACCAGTATTCACATTTGGGCATATTGAGTATTCATGTAGAGTTTGGTCCAGATCCATCATTGTTTGAGTCCACAATGCTCTCTGGATGTAGGCGAACTACAACTCCAAAACTCAAGGTCAATGCTCACCAAACCCTTCCAGTATTTTCTGTTGGTCATGTGAGTTGTATGTGCCAAGTCTGGTTGTATTCCATCGTTGGTGCGGTTCAGAATGCTCTTCGATTGTAGGTGAACTATAAATCCCAGCAACTACAACTCCCAAAGGTCAAGGTTTATTTTCCCCACACTCCACTAGTGTTCACATTTGAATCCATGCCAAGTTTGGTCCAGATGCATCTTTGTTTGAGTCCACATTACTCTCTAGAGGTAGGTGAACTGTAACTCCAAAACTCAAGGTCAATGCCACTCCATCGTTGGTGGAGTTCAGAATGCTCTATGATGGTAGATGAACTGTAAATCCCAACAACTACAACTCCTAAATGTCAAGGTCTATTTTCCCCAAACTCCAACAGTGTTCACATTTGGTCATATTGAGTCTTCGTGCCAAGTTTGGTCCAGATCCATCATTATTTGAATCCACAGTGCTGTCTGGATGTAGGTGAACTACAACTCCAAAAACCAAGGCCAAAGCCCACGAAACACTTCCAGTACTTTCTGTTGGTCATGGGTGTTCTGTGTGCCAAATTTGGTTGTATTCTACTGCTAGAGGAGTTTAGAATGATCTTTGATAGTGGGTGAACTATAAATCCCAGCAACTACAACTCCTAAATGTCAAGGTCTATTTTCCCCAAACTCCAACAGTATTCACATTTGGGCACATTGAGTATTCGTGCCACGTTTGGTCCAGATCCATCATTATTTGAGTCCACAGTGCTGTCTGGATGTAGGTGAACTACAACTCCAAATACTACGGCCAAAGCCCACCAAACACTTCCATTACTTTCTATTGGTCATGGGAGTCCTGTGTGCCAAGTTTGGTTGTATTCTATTGCTAGTGGAGTTTAGAATGATCTTTGATTGTAGGTGAACTATCAATCCCAGCAAATACAACTCCCAAATGTCAAGGTGTATTTTCCCCAACCTCCACCAGTATTCACACTTGGGCATATTGAGTATCCGTGCCAAGTTTGGTCCAGATCCATCATTATTAGAGTCCACGGTGCTGTCTGGATGTAGGTGAACTACAACTCCAAAACTCAAGGTCAATGCCACTCCATCGTTGGTGGAGTTCAGAATGCTATTTGATGGTAGATCCCAGCAGCTACAACTCCTAAATGTCAAGGTCTATTTTCCCCGAACTCCAACAGTATTCACATTTGGGCATATTGAGTATCTGTGCCACATTTGGTCCAGATCCATCATTATTTGAGTCCATGGTGCTGTCTGGATGTAGGTGAACTACAACTCCAAAAACAAAGGCCAAAGCCCACGAAACACTTCCAGTACTTTCTGTTGGTCATGGGCGTTCTGTGTGCCAAGTTTGGTTGCATTCTATTGCTAGTGGAGTTTAGAATGATCTTTGATTGTGGGTGAACTATAAATCCCAGCAACTACAACTCCTAAATGTCAAGTTCTATTTTCCACAAACTCCAACAGTATTCACACTTGGGCATATTGAGTATCCGTGCCAAGTTTGGTCCAGATCCATCATTATTTGAGTCCACGGTGCTGTCTGGATGTAGGTGAACTACAACTCCAAAACTCAAGGCCAAAGCCCACCAAACGCTTCCAGTACTTTCTGTTTGGTCATGGGAGTTGTGTGTGCCAAGTTTGGTTGTATTCTATTGCTAGTGGAGTTTAGAATGATCTTTGGTGGTAGGTGAACTATAAATCCCAGCAACTACAACTCCCAAATGTCAAGGTCTATTTTCCCCACACTCCACCAGTGTTCACATTTGAATCTGTGCCAAGTTTGGTCCAGATGCATCTTTGATTGAGTCCACAGTGCTCTCTAGATGTAGTTGAACTATTTTCCCCAAACTTCAACAATATTCATATTTGGGCATATTGAGTATCTGTGCCAAGTTTGGTCCAGATCCATTATTATTTGAGTCCACCGTGCTGTCTGGATGTAGGTGAACTATAACTCCAAATACCAAGGCCAAAGTCCACCAAACATTTCCAGTACTTTCTGTTGGTCATGAGAGATCTGTATGCCAGGTTTGGTTCAATTCAATCATCGGTGGAGTTCAGAACGGTCTTTGATTGTAGGTGAACTATAAATCGCAAAAACTGTAACTCCCAAATGACAAACTCAATCCCCCTCCCCAACCCCACCAGTATTGGGTAATTGTGCCAAATTTGGTCGAGTGAATGAGAATCCATCCTGCATATCAGATATTTACATTACGATTCATAACAGTAGCAAAATTAGTTATGAAGTCGCGACGAAAATAATTGTATGGTTGGGGGTCACCACAACATGAAGGTATTAAGGGGTCGTGGCATTATTTTAAGCAAGAGCAGGTCTCGCTGGGCTGGTTTCGGCGCTCTTGTTTACACAGCACCGGCTCATCCGGTTCTAAAAAAGCTGGCCCCGAAAAGGCTTTGCTTCCTGCCCGGGCTCTCCCTTGGGGAAGGCTGAGCCTACCATCTTCCTAAACCGGGCTTGCGGTTTGTTTGTCTTCGCAAGGCTCCCTGGCTGGCCCCGGACAAAATAATTGGCGATTGCTCCTTGTTGTACAAACAGCGCTGGAGATCCGCAGGAGGGAAACACCTCCCTTCACTTCTGATCCTTCCCTAAGAAAGCTTAGCCAAAGCCTCGGGAAGGCTTTCCCATTGGGAATAGGATGCCGGATTCCGATGCGTCTGGGGTTTTAAAGGGACGGGACGTCTGGAAGCGGAGGAGGAGGGTGTCTTGGTTCGATGTTGTTTTTGGAAACCCAAACCTTTTCTGCAATGTCTCTTGACCCTTGGCTGGTGACTTCTTAGGGACTCTTCCAGGGATAATTCTCCGAAATGAAGTGGTTTGCCATCATATGGCATCGTGTTTGAGTCTCTTTTAAGAGAGGAACAACAACAACAACAATAATATTTTTGTTGTTGTTGTTGTTCATTCGTTCAGTCGTCTCCGATTCTTCGTGACCTCATGGACCAGTCCACGCCAGAGCTCCCTGTCGGCCGTCACCACCCCCAGCTCCTTCAAGGTCAGTCCAGTCACTTCAAGGATGCCATCCATCCATCTTGCCCTTGGTCGGCCCCTCTTCCTTTTTCCTTCCACTTTCCCCAGCATAATTGTCTTCTCTAGGCTTTGCTGTCTCCTCATGATGTGGCCAAAGTACTTCAACTTTGTCTCTAGTATCCTTCCCTCCAGTGAGCACTCGGGCTTTATTTCCTGGAGGATGGACTGGTTGGATCTTCTCGCAGTCCAAGGCACTCTCAGAACTTT